GCCAGTCTCCGTCATCTTCAGAAGGGCCGCTGGGCTTCGAAGGCACACATGCAAGACAGAGACAGCCCCAGAGAGGTCTACGGCCTAAGCCCAGAGGCTACCAAAGGGCACAAAGGTGTCAATCCACTGACCCAAGGGAATTATCTGGACTAGCTGAGGGCCCACCACAGTCCCGGGGTCCTGACAAGTCCACAGGAGCGTGAGAAGGACTCGACCTGCCGCAGCAGTGTTGAAGATGGAGGAAGGGGCCACAAAGCAAAGGACGCGGGCTGGAAAAAGGGCAGGTTGTGAGATCTCCCTGGAGCCTTGGGCCCACACCTGAGTCAGGCCCACAAGAGCCACATCAGAAGCCTGGCCTCCAGAACCACGAAGTAATACAAGATCTGTGTTGTTTTCAGCCACTAAGCCTGTAGTGATTTGTTACAGCACCCCCAGGAAATGAATACAGGAGGCTCGGGGGATGTCCTTCACTGCAGCCCCCAGGATGCACTAAGATAAAAGGACGAGAAGAGAATCTGGAGCAATTAAGACCCCAATGCCAACCCTGCAGATCCCTGGACTCCGGTGAGCACACAGGCCTTGGCCCCAGCGGCTCACACAGGCTCGTGCTGGGCCAGCGCTGGGACGGAGTGGCTCATCCTCAGGGAGCGACACCAGGCAGACCGCACAAGCCGCGCCCAGGACAGCGAGACCCCTGGCCTCTGGAAGGTGTGGGTGACATGGGCAACTGCAGCCCACCAGGCGGTCGCTGTGGCCTTGTGGACAGTGGGGAGCACTCCTGCTGTGCCACGCGCCACAGGGCACTGGGGGAGGAGGGGAGGCCATCATTCGGGCGGGGACGGCTCCTAGGCAGCCGCCCACATCTCGGCCTACATTCAGGGCCCAGGAGGGAAGTGGAGGGCAAGTCCAGGCTGGACACGAACAACCCCAGAGAGTCAACCGCGCAGACACCCCCTGTGAGCGAGGGGCTGTGCCCACAAAACCCAGAGTCCAAATCTGAAGGGGACCGAGCAGCTGGCCGCACAGGGGGCAGCCCGCGGGCGACCCCAGGGTCATGGCCACAGCACCCAGTGCGGCCAGCTCCAGAATCTGCGAGGGAGCTTTTCAAGTGAAATGCTCAGCATGGAGCAGCTTGGGAGGCTCAGGTGGGGGGATCCTTGCCCCCGGCCCCGTCAGCTCCGCGTTCACCGCGCACACGCGCACTCGCCACCGCACATGCCCACATGGCAGCCAGAGCCGGAGTGGCCGCCACCAGGGTGCAGAACTAAAGTCTCCTATGGGCATTGAGGAATTTCCACAGACGCGGAAAACAGACAGTCAGCCCTGCCCTCTCGCTGGCCGATCTGGGTGACAGGCTCTGAGCTCCAAACCATGGCGTCTCTGCCCGCGCCAAACCAAGAAGGGCGGTGTGCACCCACCTCACCCGGAGCGATACCAAGGCACAAAGGACGGCGCTCCCGGGGTGGCGTCAAGGGGGCCTGGCGTGACCGTCTCCTGGACCTGGTGACAGGCCTGCAGGTCCTGCTACATCCCGAGCTCTGGAAAGGGAGTCAGGGACGCGCATCTAATGGGTGGGACTTCAGGGCTGGACAGAGCCGTGTGCGTCCATTAAGGACACACTGTAAGCTTTAACGCATCTGAACTTTAACAGGGTAAGAAATTTGGGTTTTGGACTTGAGCTTGAAAGGGTTAGCCTCTGAGACTTAATTTCTCCTTGGAAATTGGTTAACAGAGGAGATTTATATTCAAATATGGAGCGTACCACCTCGTTGGAAGTTTATACATTATCACTTAACCTCACAGCAGAATTTCCGATGAGCTAGGTTGAACAATATACCTGGATATAATTCAGGATGGGAAATACATTGCAGACTGATTCTGTAGCCTTGGGCGAAGGCCTTGCAGATTATTTAATTGATGTTCAATTCTGACAAATTCCAGAGCCATCAGAGGTACACTGTAATACCCTCCCCCCGGTGGTCCCAGGGGAACAAAGGGGCGAGGGCTTCACTGGGAGCTGGTCCATCCTGATGGGCTATGGATCTCCTCCTCTCCCTCTCCAGGGGGATTCAGCTAGCACCACTCCTGGACCTTCTCTATCCCCCCAATACTTGCCACAAGAAGGCAACTTATCAATTGCTAAAGCCAGCAGAATAGACAGGCTGTGGGCTCAGCCCTCCTTCCACCTGTCAGAGCCAGCTGAGTCCCCAGGCAGGCTGCTCCCCCTCGAAGGCTCTGCTGTACATGAGGGTGGCCTGGCTCTGGCCCAGCAATGGCTCTGATGGGGTAGGTAAGCCCAAGTAATCCTGGGATTCGGTCAGCCAGTTTATTTGGCTCTCGCACTAAGATAGGATTTCAAGATTCTCATTTAGAAAAAATAAAAGTTATTCTTCGGTCTCCATCTGCCACTATTTTGTTTTATTTCTCAATTTGTTCAAAACTCAGGTAGGGAAGATAGGTTTTCTTGGAAATCCAAACAATGAGAAAAGCTAAAAACCTGAGAGCCTTTAAAATTTAAAATTTAAAAAAATAAAATTATGTTTTGAAAGGACCAGAAGAGACTGATGGATGGGCTGTGGCCTTGACATTCTGGACCTGGGTCCCAGGCAGAGAAGATCGACCTTCAAACGGGCTCCAACCCAGATGACAAGATGGGTCTCAGAGGGTAGAGCCCAGCGGTCAGCTGAGGGAGCCCAGGCTGTGGGTGGCCCTGCTCAGTGGCCAGGAAGCCTTTGAAGGGCACACCAAGGACCTTCCAGAGCCAGAGGCTGAGTGAGAAGGTGTAAGGGAAAAAGAACATTCTGTGGCCCCAGCAACAGCCCCTCTGGGAGACACGGGGTACTCAGGCCCTCCTGGGGGCGGGGGGGATACCTGTGGCCCAGCAAGATCCTGCCAGCACAGCACCTCTCATAGGTTCTGCCCACCCAAGGCCAGGATACCAGATGTACCTCTGGGCCATCACCCCCAGCACCCCATCCAAACACACACCTGCACACACACCTGGCACAAAATCGCCTGCTACACGAAGCTGTGAATGGGCGCAGAAACCTACACATTCATGGAAATATTAACAGTAATAATGTCACCCCCCTCACAAAAAGTAAACATTCATATCCTTTTTAATTGAGATTTGATTTTACATCTTTAAGAAAGAATACACTCTTCGAAACGTACAAGTCAGAGGAAGAAAGGTCTGAGGAATACAGTGATACAGTGACCTTTTGGGGAATGTTTTACCCAAGGTAAAGTCTGTATTCACAGAAAACCGAAGCACGCGCCCACGGCCTGCCTTACATCTGTTGCCATCCCACCTCACACTTCGGCAAAAACAAATAGCACTCTCTGTGCTCTTCGGGAGAAAAGGAGAATAACATTTTCTGAAGGACCATGGCAGAGACGAGCTGAAAATTAAATTCACAGGGGCTGAGCTGGAAGGCCCCACAGCACCCACCTGCCACAGCATGTAGCTCCGGAAGCACCTGTGACAAGGGGCTGAGCACCGCCCCCCCCGCCCCCGACCAGAGACATGCCGTCTGGCCTCTCTCCCTGGAACACGGCTTCTTTCCTACACTGAAACCACAGGAGCCCCTCTCTGTGCCCTGCAGGACCTGCCTCTGGAACAGCTCAGCAAGTCCCTTTCGCAAACAATGGCCTGAAAGACCTCTGTGTCCATCACCTCTTGCAGGTGCCCCCAGGCCCCAGACACAGCCCTGGACAAAGTGCCCCACGGGGGCCCTGGCAGTGCAGAGGTCAGAGGGCAAGCACCTGCTGCCGCAGCTGCACTCCGTGTCACCCGTCAGGACGTCACCCCGGCTACTGCAAGTAATGCAGCATCCAGAACAGGGTCGGACTGTGAGCTGCTTCATCTCCCCAAGAACCACTTCTGCATCCTCCCGTGGGCCACGCGACTTGCTGAGTCCTGGCAGAGACAGCACACAGAAGCGCAGGCCTGGGACTGCTGTCCTCAGACAGGCTCATGTGCAAGGCCGGCCCTCCCCTGGCTGGTACCAGAGACCCGACAGTTCAGGAGCATTCCCATCATTCCCGAACAAACAAGAATGCTTCACTGGGCCTCAACTGACAGCGTAGCTTATGCTGAACTGCATTCCTTCTGGGAGTCTAGAATTTTGGAAAGTGCCAGGCAGAGGGCG